ATTAATTGGGAGGACTCCGTTACCAGGCTTTAATTTTCATTGGTGGAGTCACTGCCTAGAATACTGTTAATCTTAAAATCTTGGCTGTGCTCAGTAGTTCAGGCTTACAGCAGTCTTTGTCCACCCAGAAACAGAAATTCCAGCGGTGCTGGTATGGTGACTTGACGGTAGCTAGGAGAAACAGGTACTGGGATTTACTCAGCTCTAAGTGTCTGAGCTTCTATCCGAAAGGGATAGTGAATAGCGTTAAGACCTCTAGGCATTAATTTCTAGAAAGTTGATGCAGAATTTGCAGGAGGGTCTCAGTAGCAGCTCTTTATCTAAACAAAGTGCTGGAAAAACCGGTAGAGATGGTCCTTTTTATGGTGCGTCCGGGGTGCCTGTGGCTGAAGTACTGCAGTACTGGTGCGGCTTGCTGCTTGGGGGGATTGCGTAAAGGTTGATGTTAAAACATTGTTTTTGTTGCAAGGTAGACTGGCTGTGGTTTGGCGCTTGTTTGGGGCTGTCTTCTGATGGACGGTTCTGCTAACTTGGGAATGTCTTCATTGCTAGGCCTCTTCCTACTTGTTCCGCTTTTTTTTCTGGCGCCTTCCTTGTTTTTTCTTCCTTTCTGTGTTTTCCTCTCTCACCAGTGTTCTCATCCCATTCCTGTTGCGTCTCGCTCATCGCTCGTTGCCTGGAGGGCAGGCAAATGGAAAGACGCGTTTAGGCTCTGGTGGGAGCGGTAATGAGTGGTCACGTTAACGGGATGAACAGGGAAGGCAGGAGTTGGGCGCGGACAGTAGCTTGGTGTCGTCATCAGCCGCAGACCTCTCCCGGCTGTGAGAGCTTGGGGACTTGTTCTTCAAGGGCCGGGATGCTGCTGGGTTTGTCGTGCAGATGGATTACTTGGTACCTCTTCAAGCCTTGCTGCAGTGTTTTCTGGGCGCTTGATGTGAACCTTCGTTTTATCCTGGTGTTCGTCTTAATGGTTAACACCCGCTGGACGAATTCTTAATATCATGGGGCTTCAGAGAAACCCCAAGATGACACTTGGTTGCTCTTCCTGTCTATTGATAGTATTGGAGAATGTAAATTGTGGCTTCTGTGGTCTGGGCAGTGGCTTACTGATGCCGCGCTGCCTCTGTTAAGCACCGGTAGAAATCTGCTCTTCAGCCGTCTCCTGAAGATCTTAAGTTGTCCTCGTGCCTTCCCAGGGGCTGGCTCGGAGTTTCCCAGCTACGTTTCCAGGCCTGGTCCTGCAGCGCAGAGCTGCGTGTGTCTGCAGAGCCTGGTGTGGGCAGCTCTCCCCGGGAGGCTGCCACCAAACAGGCTGAAGCAGGAGGCCAGTGCGGGGAGAAGTGCAGAGGGGGATTCCTTTGTGTTTAAATTTAGCGTCTTCTCTTCCTGGAGTCCCCTGCACTCGTTTTGCATGGAAGATGGCAGTTTTGGTCACTGAAAGCGGGCTGATGGTGGGAGCGTAGTGGGCTGATTAACGAGCTGTAGTTGGTAAGGTTTTTTCCTGCGTGTATGAAAGTTAGCTCAGTGAGAATTTGTGAACTGCAGGTGAGTCTTGGTAGACAAAACAGCACTGTAATGCTCTGACACCTGCCTGACCATCCTTTTTTTTTTCTCTTTTTCAGTTTAGTCATCAAAGAAAAGACTTAAGAAATGAAGAAGAAAAGAAAATGAAATTCCAGCAATAAGAAATGAACAAAAGAATTGGAACTGAAGACCTTAAGTGCTTGCTTTTTGCTGTTGACCAGATTACTAGAACTATCTGCATTATCTATGCAGCATGGGGTTTTTATTATTTTTACCTAAAGAAGTCTCCTTTTGGAAACGATAAACACGTTTTTTAAAAGCCTGTTTTTTCTCAATATACCTTTAAAGGTTTTTAAATTGTTTCATATCTGGTCAAGTTGAGATTTTTAAGAACCTCATTTTTAATTTGTATGAAATATACACCTGATTTTTTCAAGTCAAACTGCAAGCATCTGTTAATAAAGGTCTTAAAGAATTACCTTGTGTGCTTGTCGTTTTAAACCCAGTTTTGTATGAAAGGTTTTAAGTGCTCGTAAAAGGTTTGGGGAGAAAAATGACTGCTCTGTTTCTTCAGCATACAGGCTGTTGGAGTAAAACACAAAAACACTTTAAAAAAAAAAAAGTAATTGAGCCCTGCTGCAACTGGGTGGAAAGGCGCGAAGAGGGCAGGTGTCGGTCCGGTGCATTTCCAAGAGCTGTTTGCTGGAGCAGCTCAGCTGTGTCCCCGCTGGAATACGGCTGTCACAAAACCGAGGTGGTGTGAGGGTGCTTCAAAAAGGGGGGAAAACCAAACTGCAGACGCCAAAACTTGTCATTGGAGATGTGCAGAGCACGGCTGCTCTTGACTTCTTACAACACAGCTGTGACGTCTCTACAGCTGAGTCACTGCGAGGGTTGCTGGTGTCTTGCTCCTGGTGTGCGGGAAGGGGAATCCGGGGAAAACCAGGGGAAAATGCAGGTTCCCAGCTGGGTTTGGAATCCAGAGCCTCCAACAGCAGCCGCGTGCGTGCGTGGGCTTGGCTTAGCCGTCGCGCTCGGCTCCGTGTGGGCTGCTTTGCCTCTGGGTAGGCGTCGGAGAGCCCAGACTGCTGCCTGGAAGCCTTTTCGGGTGGTGACAGGCTCCTTGTGTCCCTGCGGTGACTAACCACCCAGCCTGCTGTCGCGCGGGGTTGAAGGAGCGCAGAAAGGGAGCTGCACCTTGCGGCAAAACTGGCTCTCGCTGAGCTTTGACCTCGCGGTGAGGGCCGGGAGAGCGTGGCGGGGCTGCTCCACCCGCCTCGGAGCTGTTAATTCTGCTTGCTCAGCCCCGCAGCCCGTGGTGCTGTGCTCTAACAACACCAGTTATAAATTACCGCTAAGGAATGTGACTGGTTGTCCGAGGGCAGCTTTTGAGAGCTTTCCTTTCTGTGCACTAACGAGCTCTACGCCTGTACCATGCAAATGCTTGCTCTTTTTAATTGTCTCCCTGTGTGCTCCAGTGCCAGCCACTAAGGGCCCCGTGCTTTATCTCTAGATACCGTCTAACACGCTTCTGACTGCCCATCCCCTAGATGTGTCAGCTGTAAGCTGTCCAACCTTTGGACCGCAGACGTCCTGCTGTTTAACAGCAAACTGTCAGTCGCGCTCTTTATTTCTGTCACGCAGCTTTAGTGACCGCGTTTCTCCGTTTTTCAGGTCCCTGTGGCGCTGCTTTAACCTATGCTAATGCTGACGGACCTGCTCCCGTGCTGCAGGACACAGCAGTTGGCCAGTGCCGTTTCTGCGTCGCACCCAACAGCGGGAGCTGCAGTAAAGCAAGAGGTTTGCTGCCTTTCGGCTTCGTGTGAGATTAGGAAGGGTGTCCCCGCCTTCCCTGGGGACAGACGGCTTGGGAGGAGCCTTGCAACTCTTCTGGTTCAGGGTGTAGGTGTGTTCTGCAGCCTGCCTCCGCTACAGAAGCGCTGCTGCGAGTCTCTTCTTGCACCTTCCCGTTGCAGGGACTGTCTGTAGCCCTGCGGCAGCGTCTGCTCAGGCCAGGCGCTTGGTCTGCTGCCGTTCGGGGTCACAAAGCCCCTACCAGGGAGCTTTCTGCCCGGCTTCCCTGCGCTGCGCTGGTTTCTGCGTGCTAACCTTTGGGTGAGAAGTAAGGGATAAGGGCCAAGACTAAGCAGTCGGTAATTGCCGGGAGGGTGGTGGTGGTGGTTTTGGGTTCTGGTTTGTTTTCATAATGGTTTGCAAGTGAAGAAGGATAATAATTCACTTGGAAACCAGAATTCCCTTTTCGTGTGGACTTAAAAACCCGGCTTTGCAGGTAGAGCACCTCCATTAGGCTTCAGACTGACTCACCTCCTTGTGCCTGACACGTCTGGCTACAGAGTTCCTCCACTGATAACCCCACGATAACAACAAACGCTCCAGGCTACTAGCTTTACCCGGTTTTTAAATGCAAACCTTGTGCCGCCAAATTTCTGAGCGCAGGGGCGGTTTCCAGCAGGCTGGTGCGCGAGTGATCAGGGCCACCAGCCAAACGGAGTCAGTGTTGCTCTGCGCAGAAAAGGCTTTCCGCTAAATTCCTCTGAAGCAGCGGAGGAGCTCCTTTGCCTCTAGTGTCCCAACAGCTTCCCTAGGGGTCTTGGGGACATCTTTTCTTAAAGCCACGCTTTTCTGGGGTTTGTTTTTGTGAAACCTGGCTGGAAGTGGGGAAAAAAGCCTCCTCTGTGGGTGACTTCTGCAGCACCCTTGCTTTTTTGCAGCCACTGATGCTACAGCTCTCGCAGACCCTGCAATCGGAGCCTTAAAGCAATCGCAGAGATGTCGCAGTATAGGTGATGGTGCTTTAATGGGGGTCAGGCTGGGGGGGCAGAGCATCCCACAGCGGGGCCGGGTGCGGGAGG